TCCCTTCCCTGTGTACTAGCCTCATTTAGAGTTCACATGCGTGTGCGTGCACACGCACAAAACCTCCCCCCCATCTATCTACCTCTGTTTCCTCTCTGCTGTTTCACTTGTTCTTGAACGTCCTCCAGCTGGTGTTATGGTTTCCTGCCAGGACCTGTGATCAGTGTGGTACATGGCATCCTCCAAACTGCAATGCTTGGCTAATGTTTTGTAATATTTAAGGCTGCAACACACTTTTTCCAGCACTTGAAACGTTGGTCTCCAAGTCAGATGAATACCTGGCTAATACCTGGAAGTGGAAGTTGGCTTTTGAGTAGAAACCAGTTGCTGAAGGTGAAATTTTCCTTCTGTGGAAGCAGCACCAAGTGTTTGTAAGACTTGAAATACGTTTACTTTTGCCATGCAGGTAAAACACCCAAGGAAACAAACTGCCTTTAAGATAATCTGCTGGTAGAGAGCACTCTGTTTTAATGACTAGAGCAGGAGCGACCTATGGCCCCTGGGTTGGATCCGACCCACAAAGCAGAGCTGGAGTAACTGTTCAGGTAGCAGAGGTGGCTGCCCAGGGCAGCAAATTGAAGGGGACAGGAGAAAGTCTAAGGCAAGTTGAAGGGGACAGGAAAAATTGCGCGCACACCTTGCAAATGCGAATTGGTGGCCGCCTCAGGAGTCTGGGTATGTGCAGAAGCAAGCAGGGCAACTCCAGTGCTGCAGAGCCACTGCTCCAGACCGCTGCCTGGTGCCCACCCTCGCCAGGTCCCAGGTATGTTACAAGGGAGGGAGGCAAATTTTCACTTGCCAAGGGCATTAAAAATCCTTGTGCTGCTTCTGCTGCAAAGCCGTTGAATTTGGCCTGCAGAGCAGGGGCTTTGGTGATGTTTGGTGCTGGGTGACTTCACCCATATTGTGCTGTGGCTGGATGGCAGGGAGAAGTGGCAGCAGCCAGGTCCTAGTGCTGGCCGCCTTTGGCCTGAGCTGGGTCATTCCAGCCTGCCGTTGGTGTACGCTGTCCTCTCTTGGACTAGAGCTTTAAGAAAAGTGGTTGTCCCACATCTGTGTGCGCTGTCAAGCCTTAAGATGTGAATCAGAAAAACTGAGTTCCATTTCTGGTGAGTAGGACACTGCCTGCAACTTTTTGCATTCAGCCAATATCTGGTTTCTTTCCCCCTGCACTGATGCAGAATATAGGGAGTATGAAATGTTGTAATTTGCTGACCAGTTTAAAAATTGTACCTGGGGTGGATGGTTGTCGTAACACGTAGATATGATTGTTTGGGTACTCTTCATAGCTCTGCAGGATAACAAGACAGATATCCTTTTTCTCTTCCAGTTCAAGATCAATGGGGAATGGTACACGTGGATTGATTACGACCGTTTTCAGGAGCTGGTCCAAAACTATGATGAGAGCGGAGGATCTAAGACTTTCACTGCGGCAGATTACATGGCCAGAACTCCGTGCTGGGCGGTTTTTGGCTCCAGAGAAAGGGGCTTCGATCCTTTGGACACTAGATATCAACGGAAGAACAAGAAGGACATCTCAGGCTGTTGATGTTGTTCAGATGGGGTACTGAAAAAAGTTGATTTTTTCCTTCCATAGCATAACATGGATACAGAATATCTGCACAGAGTGTCCCTAATGCTTGATTGTTACAAGGAGACCAGAGACTTTTATAGCCCCTTTTCCTTCAATTTCCTCTGACTCCTTGGATTACAAATATTTTATGCTTTTTTTTGGTTTGTTTTAATCTAGTCCAAATGGTCCTGGTAAGCAGTTCACTGGCTTTGGCAGGGTGCCATGTAATTCTTGCATAGACTTTGCAATTAGAAAGCAACGACTTGTGACCCATACAGTTTGGCAGTGGCATTTTTTATTTTGTTGCTGCACTCTTCACTGAGGAGAGAGCCTGACATCTGTTTGGTCCTTGTTCCACACCAGTTGCTATTAAAAAATAAAGAAGATTAATATGGGTCCCAATCTAGCAGGAAGTACGGTGTCCACTGAGGTTTCTTCTAGTAGCGCAAGTCTTTCATACTTAGATAAGTCTCGTCTAATGTCATGATACTTTTAATGACTTTTAAAAACTAGTTTTACACCCTGTCCCTCTTGAGTCTCCCAACAAAATATGTCAGGTAGCTCTTCTGTACCAAGTCATGCTTTCCTTATTTACACATGGTGTCCAAATGATTTCAGTGCCAATTTGGAATGAGGTAGGATCTCAGGACTTGATCTTCTCAGTCAATTCGTAATGGATTTAAATTTGAATCCCTAATTTAGATGGAAAACAAATGCATCAGGTCTTAACATCCAAAGCAGCATTTTCTACATTTGAGCTGAAACGATGAATGATTGAAAGCAGTCGGAAACTATGAGGAACAATGTATAAATGTTAATCTCTCAAACAAGGTCACTGGTTATATTTAACTTTTCATTGAATATTTTGCCGCGTCTCTATTCAAAACCTTTCAGCGGTTTCATTTTTTGTAAAAAGCTTTGATGGTGCAAGAGGAATTGGGGTCTGATTATGAGCTTCCTAACACTGGAGGAAATAAATGGGAACACGTTGGAATTAGATCAAGGTGCAAACCTGTCAGTTGATGTTAGGTGAGACTGAATAACGTGTGGAGCTTCTGTCTTGCCACAGAAATGTAAAACCCCCACAGAAGGTGAAATTAATGTGTGTTTACGGATGCTTGTGTCAAAAACAGTGGGACACACGTGGTGGTTAGCTATATTCTGAGATTTTTTTATTTTTAAACTGTTGCTGCAAATTTATATTTAAATAAATGTTTTGGTGTTATTTGTCATTGTGGAAATCATTGTTTTCATCTGCTGATCTCTGCTGTTCTGTTGTGAAACATGCCAAGCCATTGCATGAATACATGCGGTAGGAGGGCAGGAGACCTTCCTCAGTAAGCTGAGAAAATCACAGTGAAAATGGCTAGGACCAGACCTTCAGATGGTGCCAGCTTAGACCAGCTGAAAACATTGGTGATACATGAATACAAAATCTGGGTAGAAGATTTTGGTACTGCCTGTGCTGATAACGGAATGGGATTGCATTTGAGCATATTCTATAGCTTGTAAATTCAGGTCAAAATGTAAATCTAAATTGTTTGTGATGTAATACAGTAAAATCTCAGGCTTATTATAGAATCCTAGAAAGCTGGGGTTGGAAGGGACCCCAGGAGCTCACATCGAGTCCAACCCGCTGCTCAAAGCAGTGCCATCCCCAACTAGATCATCCCAGCCAAGGCTTTGTCTAGCCAGGTCTTAAAAAACCTCCAGGGATGGAGAGACCACCACCTCCCTGGGTAACCTGGTCCAGTGTTTTACTACCCTTCTAGTGAGAAAATTCTTCCCAATATCTAACCTAAACTTTCCTTCCTGCAACTTGAGACTGTTGCTCCTTGTTCTGTCAAGACACATTCTGGCCCTGTGTTAAGTCGAGCTGTGCTTCCCGGGCCTTTTAGTATTATCAGCATCTTGTCAGTGGTTTCTCTTGGGGGTTTTTAGTGTGGCATAACATCACTTGGCCGTTTTACAGAAGTACTGTGGGGGTTT